CAGAGTCAGCCGAAATTTACAGAGGGGAAATAGACTGCCTAGCAGTGGGAGGAATGGCAAAAAAACTACAGCCATCTTGACCCACTCCACACTTTTGGAGAAATGTTTGGGGGGTTTCTTTTTCTTGAGATATGAAAAACATTTAGCATGACATTTGACACATAAATTATGCCAGTTTTATGTTTGATGAAGGGCAGTCACTGTGAGAGGGGACAAGGAGCTTTGTTGCTTTACAGGTGTTGGGTAGCTCGGACTGCAAATGAAGGTGCTTAACTTCCAGACTAGGCTAAACGGAAGTGCAGAATTTAGTCTGAATTCAGCCACAGCTGGGTTGAATACACAGACTTAAATGATATCATTACAGATCTCTCTGTCTCTCCTCCACCCCCTCTGTCCCTCTTCTCATTCCTTAGTCCCTACCCCCTACCTCTGTGACCTACATTTCAGGTCACTGTCTACCATCCTCTTCTCTCCCCTTGTACACTTCTCTCTATCAGAGAGTGGGGATACAGAGTGCCTATATGCTTAGGACTGAGAAGGGAGGGATGTTATGGGGGTGGAGAAATTTCTCAATGGTTAAGGGCACTGTTGCTCTTCCAGGGGATGCAGGTTCAATTCCCAGTATCCATGTGGTGGCTCCCAATCATCCTTAACTCCAGCTCCAGAGAATCAGACACCATCTTTTGGCTCTGCAGGCACCAGACATACACACCATGCTCAAACATACAGCCAGGCAAAACAAACATGTACATAAAAAAAATAAGTGTACTTTTTAAAGCCTCCTCAATTGTAGTCCCAAGAAAGACATTGATGAATTCAGCCTGGTCATTTGTTCATCCCTGAACCAATAACCCCACCTAGGAAGACATGCTACTATGACAGAGTGACCCAAGACCACAGAGAATGAGGATACAGAGCTCGTCAAATAGAACCGAGGAAGGGAAACCTCAGGACAAACTAGTGCTGGCTTCTGGTATATCCATCTACTCCGATGGTGCCCCTTTAACCACTGGATCATCTATTTGGTTTGGGCCCCCAGGCATCATGGTAGGCATGGAATGTCAGGCTAGGAAGAAGGAAGGGGCTTTTTGTGGTTTCCTTCCTGTCTCTCCTGGCTCTCTCCCATCAAATGCCTGAGCTTCAGGGTACCTTTATGAAGAATTAGAACTCAGAACCTCCTGACTGTAGCAGACTCTAACATTTCAAGGGAGAGACTAGAAATGGCATTAAGGGGTGCACAGAGGAGAGGAAAGCTTTGGGAGTGGGGTTTATAGTCACAAGTATGTCTTCCCCAGAGCTTGGGGGTGCTGCTCTGCCTCCCTCTCCTCCCTTCCTTCTCCTCCTTTCCATGTCCCGAGTGCAGACTAAGCCTAGCGCAGGCTGTGCAAGTCACCCGGGAGCTAACAATGCCTGACCAGCCCAGCGCTTTTTCAATCGCTTGTGCTTCTCAAATAGGCCACCAGAGGGCGTTCAGGGTCCAACTTCTCTATTGACAGCTGCAGGGGGAACAGGATGTCTGGCGAATTCAAGAGCAGGAAGCCCCAATGCCCAGAGACCCACCGATAGCTTGGGTCAAGCCGCTAGGGTTTCAGGCTGTCAGGGACCTCTAGGCTGACCAGACATAGGGCTGGGACTCAAATCTGTGAGTCTCTACGACTTTCTGATCCTGGAAGGGTGTTCTGAGATGAGATGATGTGGAATCCTCTACGAAGCTAGAAAAGCAAAGATCAAGGCAAATAAGAACCGACATCATTTCAGGCAGTTCAAAAGGAAGATAAGATGTCGTTGTTTTTTGTTTTGTTTTTTTTTTTTGTTGTTGTTGTTTTGGGTTTTTTTTTTTTTTTTTTTGCCAGTCAGCTAAGCAGCAAACCCGTTTGCCTCATTTGGTGAGAGTACACTGCTGACTACAGAGGAGAGAGGTGATAGAGACAGGTTTCTCTGTGTAGCCCTGACTGTCCTGAAACTAGTTCTGTAGTCCAGTCTGGTCTCGAACTCAGCGATCCGCCTGCCTCTGCTTCCCTAGCTCAGTGATTAAAGGCCTGTGCCATCATGCCCTGCTCTCCAGTGGTCTTTAAATTGCTAGTCATATAGTAGAGGTCCACCTTCTACTACCAACTCTGGGAACTCCCTAATTTGAGGGGTGATGATCCTGAACAGAAGACAAGGTTGGAGGTCGTGAGCCTATTCCTCTGTAAGCACGGAGATGGCTCTGTGCCCTTGCACTGCTGTCTGAGGATGGAGTGAGAGCCAGTGCTCATAGGGCCCACTGGCTTCCACTCCTCTAGCTCACCCAGCTGCTCAGCCCCAGGCACAGGCAAGGTCCCCTGCTGGCTGAGGGGTGGAGGACATGTGGAACTTGGGCAAGGGGGAAGAGCACAGAGGCACCCCAGATGTATGTGTGTGTGTGTGTCCGCATCAGGAAAAGGCAGCACACAGGCAGATGGGTTAGGAGGCTGAGTGGAGAACCTAGGATGAATCGGAGGCCAAGTGCTCCCAACTCGTCTCTCTTTACCTTTGATAGCCACACATTAGGAATCGGGGGACATGGAGGCAGCGAGCCGTTTCTCCTTACCTTGCTGAGGCAGGGGAAACAGAGAGGAGGGTCCCTTCTCCATCTAGAGCATCTCATCTCTTTTCTTCATCAAGACCAACTTCTCCAGCTGAGCATCAAGACAGAGCAGGACTGGACTGGGCTAGGCTAGAACTGTGAGGGTCCCACCTGTTCTCACCCTGTGCCTCCCCCAGCCCTCCCTCCGGAGACCTCCCCCAGAGCTGCCACAGCTGGAACCATTCTCCAGCTGCCTTTCATCCTCCTCGCTTCCCACCCCCACCCCCAGTGGCCCCTGTAATTGTGGTCTCTGGCAGGCTGCTGCGGGGGCTGGGGCTGGGCTGAGGGCCAGGGCCCAGGGCAGGTCTGAGGTAGAAGCTGTAGGCTGCTGGTGCTGGTAGAGGCTTGGCCATGGTATGGGTCATTCAGGTTAGGGCCCCAGATACACATTTGCCTTTAGGCTTTATCTACATACAGGCCAAAATCTGCCACTTACACATTTGGGCATTGCTAGGCCTCCTGATCTTAGGCCAGACCCAGGATGGGTGCATAGGCTTTAGGCATCAATATTTGCCTTCTGGAGTTCCCAAAGGGAGGGGATTGTTCTTTTTCCCCTGCACTTGTGTGTTTCATGAATAGTGTGGGTCCTATAGCAGAGACTCTTCCTATTCTTCCCCAGAAGGAGGCCAAAAGAAGAAACAAACAGATGCTCTGCCAGGTCATCAGCAAAGGTAGTGTCCTCTATACATTTGGGAGATGGATGGGAAGGCAGACCCCTGATCTTCAGTGCCTTGGGGCCTAGAGTCAGTATCCCCACAACAGCCTGCTCCAACAGATACATATGCTGCTTCAAATGCAAGCAGCATTATGGTGAGCACTGGACGGGGTGAGCAGGGATGTCTGTACCTCAGATGGTTTCCTTGCCTTGGTTGGGGGGGGGTCTATTTCTAATCTATTCTGGGCCTCAGTTTCCCAGACAGCCAATCAGAACTTGATTCTCCAGCCTGCAGATGCACATCTCGGGCTTGTGCCTCCTTCCTGTGTGACCCTACTGTAGTGTCAAGTGGTCCCTGTTCCTGTGACACCACCACAGTGGGGGAGAGTTAGGAGGACAGGGGGTGGCTAAGGTCAAATGAGGCTCTGATGACACAGGCTGCTTCCTGCCCCTGGCTGTTTTCCTGCTATCCAGCCAGAATGCTCCCTCATTGTCCCACCCCAACCCCCAGCAGCCCCAAGCTCTTAATTCCTGACAGCTGCCTTCTATGGCTGCTGGCAGAGACAGAGAAGGAGGGAGAGTGTGTCATCAGCCTGCAACCCTTCAGGCCACCCCCACCACCTGACAGTCTGGGGCCAAGAAAAGTACCTCCCCTCCAATTCTCCAAGGATGGTCAATTCCTGGAATGGGCCTCTTTGTTTCTGAGCCCATAGGCTATGACAGTTCTGTTCTTAAGCCAGAGGGGCTCTCTTCAGATGGAGGGGCCTGGGACATGAGGTCTGTGTGTATAATAGGAGACCCACGCCCATTTCACAGAGGATGATGCTGAAGTCAGACACAGCAGAGGTCAGACTCACTGTCAGGACCCAGATTAGAACCAGAAGCAGAAGGCAGAGCCTCTGATTCTCAGGCCCTTTCTCTGGTCAGGGATACAAGCTCTACATTGAGCAGGGGCCTAGTGTTCAGCCAGGAGCATGAGAGAAGAAAGGAAGGGATCCTGAAGGTCCAATCGGACAGCCCGTGTAAGAACAGTACCTGCATCAGAGCATGTCTCACAGCATCCCTGGGCAATAGCAAGCTGCTGTCCGTGCAGGGACACAGCTGGTGCGGTGAGGGTCAGGACAACTAATCCAGTTTAGCTCTTTGGCTAATTTGCTGTTTGACCTTAACGTAAGTCATGACCCTCTCTGGGCTTCTGTGTTTTCTCGTGAAGTAAAAGGGGGATGGTGAATAAAATGTTCTGATTTCAAACTTCTGTACTAGAATGTTTTCTAATCCCTGCTTCCAGCTGGAGCCACCTCCAAGGCACCTAGGTCACAAAAAGCACTTACTAGAGTCCTGACCCCTTTGCCTTTGGTAGCCCACTGACTAGATATGAGGTGAGCTCCGTTATTTATTTCATGAACGGACAGAAGCTGACTCTCAGAGCACCTGTGGAAGGTCACCTTGCAAAGCAGGGGAGAAGCCAGAGGCTGTCAAACCCCCTTCTGGGACCTCCATGCACACCTGTCTCTCTAGGCAAGCTAAGGGAAGTCCCTCCAGAAGCAGAGAAGGCAAAACGGAGGGGCTGGCCTCTCCCCTCCAGCCCCGCAGGTGTGTGGTGGGGTGGATTGGGACACACCCCTGCAGCTGTGTCTCAACTTCACTGAGGCACACACAACTCGAGTTAACACACAGACCAGTGCCCCGACATCTCCCAGTGAAAGGTGCCAATAGCCAAGACTCCAGTACCTCTCCTTTCTTCACCCTCTGCACGCGTTCCCCCTCCCACCAACACACATCAGTCCTAAGCGGACTCAGTGGCCTCGGGGACGGGAGCATGCCACCCCCTGTCGTGACGTCACTTGGGGTAGAACCCTTAGACACTACATGGAGAGGGGGGTAGAGCTCCCCGAGCCAGGACAGTCACTCACCCTCTAGGCGGTGGGGCTGGGCCAGACAGTACCGCCCCCACCGCGCCTGCCTCGCACACCCTCGGGAGCGCAGGCTCGCAGCGCGGCGCTGGGGGGGGGGTGCTCCCAAGAACCTCGGCCTTCAGTCCCTAGCCCGCTGCACCTCCTTACCCTCTAGAGGCCCCCCTTACCCTCTAGAGGCACCAGGAGTTGTCGCAAGGGGCCCTTGGGAAATTCCCTGGACCCCTGTGCCAGGAGGTGCCCGGTTCGCCCGCTCCCCATCCACCCCCCCGAGGGCGGTGCCCGGGGGCGCTGCCCCATGGAGCGGGGAGGCGGGCGCCGTCTGCTGCGGGAGCTGTGACCTGAGTAGGAGCTGTGTGTCGCAGCCGCCCCACCCCTGCCGATCATGCGCCGGCGACCCTGGTTCGCCAGTCCCACTGGGCTGTGAGCCCCCCACTCCTGGCCTGTCACGGCCCGCGCGCCATGGGCAGCGCCCACCCTCGCCCCTGGCTGCGGCTCCCACCAGGGCCCCAGCCGCGGCCTGAGCTCTGGGCGCTCCTGTTCTTCCTACTGCTGCTGGCTGCCGCTGTGCCCAGGTGAGCCCTCACCTCATGCTCCGCCCTCTTGGAGAGCTAGGACCCCCAAACCCGCTCTGGTGCTCTTGCTGGGGAAGGGACCCTGGAATGAGCGGGGAGAAAGAGTCACAGAAAAGTGCTGATGTCCAATCAAAGATAGTGAGCTACCTCCAAGAAAGAGGTTGGACTGGTGACAGGATATGGGCAATCCAGGGAGATAGGGAAGTGCCCAGGTGAGTGATGGCAGCTAGGTCGGGAGGTGAGTATCAGGGGAATAAGTGAGGGTTAGGATTTCTTCCCCCTTGGGGCAATGCACCCCTTTTCCAAGAATTAAGTTCAAACTGCCTCATTCCACCTTGCAGATCACCCCCATGGGAGCAAGAACAGAGGGGTTGGAGGGGGTTTCCGCATCTCAGGTGGGGTCCAGTGAGAGACTGTAAAAGGCCGTGTGTGTGTGTGTGTGTGTGTGTGTGTGTGTGTGTGTGTGTGTAAGCTAGGCTGGGTAACCAGCAGTTTGCATACATACATGTGTGCCTATGGGAGCCTATGGGCCAATGTATGTTAGGGCAAGCATGTGCCTCTGTGTGTGTATTTATAACTGTCTGAGGAAATGTGTAAGTGGTAAGTGCTCTGGGTCTCTGTTCCCACCATTATGTGTGCAGGAGTATGTCTGAAGAAACGCCAGTTGCTGAAACATAGTTTTGGAGTAGGCTCCTGGGGCTCCTTTGAGGCATCTGTGCTGGGGATGAACTTCTAAAGTACTGAGTACACACATACATTTACCTCCGTGGGTGTGCAGCTGGGTGGGTTGTACTGGAATGGATGAGGAGAGACATATATTCCTGGGCCCAACTGTAAGAACCAGGGGTTGGGGGGGGGGAGAGTGATTATGGCCTGTGGGATAGAATGTGTGTTATTAAACAGGCCCTCACAGTCTCCCACAAAATGCTTATCCACCCCACCCCATATGCCTGCAGGTCAGCACCCAACGACATCCTGGGCCTCCGCCTACCCCCAGAGCCTGTGCTCAACGCCAACACAGTGTGCCTGACATTGCCCGGCCTGAGCCGGCGGCAGATGGAGGTGTGTGTGCGTCACCCTGACGTGGCCGCCTCTGCTATCCAGGGCATCCAGATCGCCATCCATGAGTGCCAGCATCAGTTCCGGGACCAGCGCTGGAACTGTTCCAGCCTGGAGACTCGGAACAAGGTCCCCTACGAGAGCCCCATCTTCAGCAGAGGTAGCTGACCCCACCCCCACTCCAAACTCTTGTCCTTCCAGCACAGGACCTGTACCCTCGAACTTGCTAGCTATCCCTTATGAACTCTCAGGATGGTATCTCTAAGACCCCCGTATCTGCCAGCCATGTTGCTTTCTGGTCTCAGGAAAGTATCCGGAGTGGGGCTGAAAACATGGGCCAGAAGCAACTCTAATTGAGGGTGGCAGGATCCAGGCCTGAGAACTTGACTGTTGGCTTATCCCCCTCTGTTGAGTACCTCGTGCTTCAGACCCGGAAAATATCCCTATCATCTTCCTCAGTTTATCTTTTACTTAGAAATCGGACTTAAGGTTGGAGAGCCTGTGAGGGGAGGAGTGTAGAGAAAGCGGATGAGACCTTCCTGCCAGGAGAGGCAAGTTGGAAAGCCTGGGCAGGTGAATGGCCTGGACTCCTGCAGAGGCGCTGCCTGCTGTGGCAGGGTCGTCCTCAGGGTTCCCCCAAACCCCTTCTGAATCAGAGTATTGGGTGTGTGCCCGCTTGTGAGCAGTGGCTCCCGCCCGGCAAGCCTAACAGCCTCATCAAGCCCTGTTGCTCCAGTGCTCTGAGGAGTCTTGTCCTCTCTCCCCAACCTGATGACCCAGGCCCTCCTAGTCAGTCCCTAGAATGGCCACGCTGTGGGTAGCAGGTAGTTTTGTCGTTTGCTTCAACTCCCACTCACCTCCTAGATGAGCCCTTGAATCAAGTCTCTGGGGGCAAGATGGGTGTCAGTTTCTCCTCTCAGCTGCTTGTCAGGACAGCTTGGGGACCTGGTAGCCCTGGCTCTTTAGGGTCAGAGAGATTCTAGTTGGTAGTGGAGGAGGGGCATAGTCTTAGCTTCTCCAGACTTCTGCGGGGAGCCAGGCTTTAATGTACCCAAACTTCAGAAAGAACCTAATCAGGTCTTCTCCTTTTAGTAAGACCCGTGCTTGAACCCCTTGGGCCCCCAAGTCAAGGGCCACCTTAGCCTCCCCCTGCTCAACCCCAGGCCGCTGCCCCGCCCCTGCGCGCTCCCTCCTGCCTCCCCCGCGCGCCTCGGGCGCTGTTTCTACCCGGCCGAGCCCAGCCCGACGCGTGTGGCGGCATGCAGCCGCGAACTAATCCCCGCGGGCCGCGGCAGACTGCTCCGTGCCGCTCTCTGAGAGCAACCCCCTCCCTTCTTGCCCCGCGCTAAAGTCCCTCCCGCCCCGCACAGTGATATCATCCCCTCTTGCCAGCTGGGTGATACAGCAAGCGATCCCCTGTCCGCAGGCCTGCTCCACTCCCTCTGCAGGACATCACCCACCCCACCACCCACTTCTTACCACCCGCGCTGCTCGCTGACACCCAGTGGCAGACAGGCCTCAGCATCTTCCAGGCTCCGGCTGGGCCAGGCCGGTGCTCACCGCCTCCAAACCACCCTCTGCCACCCTCGGGTTGCTAGGTCACCTATGCTCCCCACAGCTGCATTTCTTCCTGGGCTTCTGCTTCAGCTTCTGCACACGAAGGAGCTCGGGCAGGCTTTGAGGGTCTTTCCCTTGTCACAGACAGAGAGATGAGCCAGGGCTAACTCTTCAGTCCTCTTCTTGGCCTCAGTGTCCCCCACTAATCCTGCTGATCTCTCTAGCATGAATCCAGGCGTCCTGATGGGGTCCCCATCAGGCTGCTGCTACCTGGTGAAGGATCTAGGGTCTTTGAAGGTTAGGGGCAAGTTTGTAGTGATGGAGCCGTGCGGGTTTGGCACGGGGCCAGGTGCTCTGGGTTCACCTGTAGTTTAATAAGCGGGAGGTGAGCTGGGGGGACTGTGGGGAGAGAGGTTAGGGGTGGAGGGGGAGACTTGCCAGGGCTAGCCAGGGCGGGGTGGCACCCAGTACTGAGAAGGGGGGCGGGACTGGGGCTCCTGGACTCAGCCAGCCAGCGGGGCTGGGTTCCTTCCCTAGGCCTAGGAACCCCGCCCTACCTCAGTGGTTCTCCCCACTCCCCACCCCCGCCCCAATCGTTGCAACACCTCATTTCTACCTCCTTCCTTAGTGGGGAATGCTCTGGGCTTTTGGGAAGTCAGTTTGCCTTACCTCTGCCACTGAACCTGCCTTCATCTCTAGCTAGGTCCATCCTGCTTCTGGCTCATTTCCTAGTTCATTTTGGTCCTCTTCTCCAGGACCAACTAAATTTGAATCCCAGCAGCTATCTCTTGATGGAGGCCAGCCCCCTGGCTATCTGGTTCCTTCTTCTATCTCATCCAGATCATTATGGAGCCTATTGACCTGGCTGTATATGTGCCACCCAGCGCATGCACATGAACACACGAACACACACACACACACACACACACACACATCAATGTGCCACTATCAGGGGCTGACCCCTCTGATTCAGGCTGCTAAAAAAGTTCTTTTAAAATCCATCCTGCCGTTATTAATTTCAGGGACTGCTGAGGATGAGTGGGGTTCCTTAGGCTTTTCTGTGACACAAATGTGACTGCCACATTATCCTCCCAGAAACTTCCCAAAGATAGGTTGAACTGGACAGATGGTCTGAGGAAGATAGGCAGGTAAAGGGTACTGTAGGGGACAAACCCGGGGAATATAAACAGGCCAAAGAGAGGTGCTGTGGACCAGAGGGAAATGTGGAAGACAGGCACAGGCAGGAATCTCCAAGAGGCTTGACAGAGTCAGGGGAAAAAAGTTGTGAGAGGGCCCTAAAATGATGCTAGCTTCTTTGCCCATCCCCAGAAACCAACAATGACCTGCTGTCAAGGGCACTGATACCCTCAGCATCTTGTACTATGAACCCAGACCAGACAGGGGATGAACAGAGAACTCCCTCCCCTTGTCCCTCAGGAGGCTGGACAAGGAGATCTGAGGGAGGAGATTCAGGAGAGATGGGCTTAAGTCCTGGCGTGGCAGAAATGAGAGACTTGAGAGACAAGACAGGAAGGGGAGAGTGTGTTAGACTCACAAAGCTTGTCTAGGGAGCTGCCACTGTTAGGTGCTCCTGGCCCTAAGGCCCAGCCACGTTTGGAATGGATGGCAAGAAGGGGCCTGTGGTCCTGCAGCAAGCCAAGCTCCCTGCCCAGAAAAAAACAGAAGTTTAAGTAGCCACAGTCTTTGGGTGTGTGTGTGGGGGGGGGTTAAGAGCAGACATCCAGGGTTTGGGGAATGTAGTGGCATTCAGATTGGGAAACTGAGGCACAGATAATCATATCTCAGGGTCATCTAAAGTTTTTGTATTCTGATGTTGTCTCAAATAATTAGCAAACTGCCTTAAGCACAAAGTTTGTGTTGGGCATTGTACTAAGACATGGTATCCTTGTTTCGGGGTCCTCAAATGGTCCCCACTCCGTAGGTCCTATTACTATCTGTATAAATGAAGCAAAGAGAGGTTGGGTAATTTGTCATTAGTCACACAGGTCATAAATGAGCAGGAGAGTCACCATGCTCTCCTTCCACCTGCCTTTAAAGCTCCTGCCCAGCCCTCTCCCACATGGCCTTCCAAACTACACGGCCAATATGAACGTCACCAGGAGCAATATATGTGTGTTCCAAGTACACCAAGAAGTGAAGCCCACACACTTATCTGTGTGTGTGAACCAACTCTGTATCTTGCCTAAGTGTTCCCACATACACACAACTCTCTGCTTCTCTCTCTCTCTCTCTCTCTCTCTCTCTCTCTCTCTCTCTCTCTCCTGTCTCTTGCTCTCCCAGGCTTAGGGGCATGAGCATGCATAGACTGTAAGGAGTGGATGGTAACCAGCCCTCTGCTCTTTACCCCTCCTTCTTTGACTTGAGTGGGCAGAGCGTAAGCTGCTCTGGCCAGTCCTTGTTCCCACCGGCCCCTAAACCATCTTCCCTTCATACTCCCCTGTCTTCCAAGCTTACTCCCCCACCCCCTTCCTGGCTGTTGGCTGGCTGTGGCCTATAGTAGCAGCTGACTCCACTTAGATGCTGGCAGTCTCTGTCCCAGATCAAAGGCAGGGCGGCTAATTGTGCATCTTAACAAGCCCCCCCTCCTGCTCTGGGCAGCCCAGCTGGCCATGGCCCCACCCTTTTCCCCCTCCAGCTGGCCAGATGGCACTGTGCCTGCATCTGCCCCAGACAGTTGGGGCCAAGACCGAAACTGGGGCCCTGAATGGGAGCTGGGGCAGACCCAATGGGCAGGACTTCCCTGAGCAGGGATGCTTAGAGCAAAGAGTGACCAAGCATGCCTTGGTCACCTGCACACATGGCTGTGACAGCTGTCAGAAACTTGGAGTGGTAGGGAAGTAATCTCGAGCTGCATGGGGTATAGAGTTCTCCAAGGTTGTGACTTACAGTTTTCCAGATTCTGCCACGCCTTCCTTAACCATGACAAAACCTTGAAGATGTAGTTGCCCCCAGTACTGCTCTAAACTCGATGCCAAGGATGTACAGAGTTGTGGGAGCTAGAAATTGGGATAGCTGGGTTTCTTTCTCAGCAGGAGGATTCAGTAGGAGCCCATGTCTCTCAGTAGAAAGTTGCTGGTCCAGGGAGCTAGAAGAACTAAGTGGGGTCTCAGTTCCATAACCCCTGTGACCTTGAGATTTTCCAGTTTGGTGTGTGTGTGCATACACACACACACACACACACACACACACACACACACACACACACCTGAGGTCTAGGCTGTCTCTGGAGGTCTGAGTATTGCCACGTGTCTTAAAGCAGACAGGCTGATGGCTGCCAGCAATAGGAGACAGGCTTGGAGCTCTGAAGATAAAAGGCAGGGATAAATGCAGGGTATGTGGACTGGAGTTTTGGGTCTACCCTTTAGCCTTAGGCTCCACCAGCTCACAGAAGTTTCTGCTCCCCTGAAGCTCTTGCCAAGTTCCAGCATCCTCTTTGAAGGCTGCAGATCAATCTTTATCCCCTCCTGTCTGGTCCTAGCGAGGCTCCTGTTACCAGGATGCCATGAGCTAGAAAGAGAAGATGAAGAGGGAGAACCTGCTTCATAGGCTTCTGCTAATCCAAATGATTCGTTTTAGACATGGGTCACGAGCTGCTAGTCTTTGTCTTTGATCGGGGTGAAATGAAAAAAAAAAAGATGTAAAAAGAAAATGTGACAGAATTGAGTGAGATCAGACAGCAAGAACAACTTCCCAATAACAGCCATGCTTGTGTAGCGTTTATTATCAATGAGACAGCCTTCCAAGTGCTTTGCACTTAATAAGTCTTTCAATTCTTGAAGCAATTGACTAGATAACGATAACACTTGTTTGCAGAGATGGAAACTGAGGCACAAAGAGATTAATCCTCTTGACCAAGGTCATATAGTTATTAACAGCTGGCCAGTAGAAGAGTCAAGATCTGAAACCCTGGCAATATGATTGCAGAAATCAGCTCTTACCTGCCAGAGAGCCCATGGAATCATTATTATACTTTGTCTGGGCAAGAAGAGGAGATTTTGCTTAGTGGTGCAGCTGGGTGAAGCTTAGAGCAGGAAGGGCTAAGGGTTTGGTTCTATCCAGGCCCAGATAGATAGCTCTCTAGAGCCTGTAAGGCCTTGAGGACATGTCCTCCTCCTAGTTTTTGATGGGAGGATGGGGGGGGGTCCTGCTAATTCTTCTGAATCTCTGATATTCTCCAAGGATATCACCCTCCTGCCATAGGGGTCCATGGCACAAGTAGATTCTTCCCTTTGTGTATGTGTGTGTGTGTGTGGGGAGGGGGTTCTCCCTTTGTGTGTGGTGGGGTTCAGGGGGCTGTTCTTTTTGGCTTCTCTAATTGCCTGTCCTCTCCAGAATCTAGAGACTCATTCTAAAACTTGCTTCATGCTAGTCCTTTCTCAGTGGAGAATTAGCAAGAGATAGCCTGCAGGTCTCAGAGCTGGACTGCCTCTTTGAGTAGGCCTATCCTGGTACAGATCCAGGACTCTCTCGGAAGGCTCAGGCTGGTGTATCCGAAAGGAAAGCAGTATAAACAGGCACTGGGCCAGGCCAGCACATCCCAGGGCCGTTGAGTGTCTCAATCAGAGAGAGTTCTTTTCCCTCTAGGCCTCTAATGAGAAGCAGACTCTGCCGTCCCCCTCAGTTTGCGGCCCTGCTACATTTTAAATGCCACTTAGGGCACTGGGTTCACCTGTATCACCTTCCAGATGCTTCCAGCAGACCAAGATAGGACATGGGCAGGACTGCTGGGGCAGGATGGCTGGGGCAGGACAACTGGGGCAGGAGAGGGTATTCACTCCTGCTTTTCAACCGTGTCTGTTGACCAGGATAAAAACCATTAGGGAGGGAAGGTTCCAGGCTGCGCTTTTATCCTCCTGCCCAATGGCATCTCCTGCGGTCTGGAATTCCATCACTTGTAATGTATTCTTTGGGTTAAGCTTCACTGTCTTTCTCTAGGCTATTTTAAAATTGCAGATATCACCCTGGAAAGGTAATAGATTAAGTGCCTGATTTGAAAAAGAATGTGTTTGCCAGGCATTTTCTGCCCTGGAGGAGAGAGCTAGACACACAAATTCCAAACTTGCTAAGGAGGTGTTAATGAAAAAGGGAAGGGGGTGTAATTCCCCCCTCGTCTGTCCACCCCCTTCCCACCCCAGGGACTCAATCTCACAGCATGCTAGTAAGCCATCTGCTGGACAACTATATCCCCAGCCTACTTTAACGACCAAGTTTTTCTGATGTCTCACCACAACTTTTCTTTTTCCTTAATGATTTATTATTCTCTTTACTTTATGTGCATTGGTATTTTGCTCGCACATATGTCTGTGTGAGGGTGCCAGATCCCGGGGGAACCGATAGCTGCAAGCTGCACAGGTGTGAGCTTGCCATGTGGGTGTCCGGGAATTGAACGCGGGACTTTAGAAGGGCAGCCTGCGCTCTTAGCCCTTAACCGCTAACCATCTCTCCAACCCCTTGCCACAGGTTTTCGAGAGAGTGCTTTCGCCTACGCCATAGCAGCTGCCGGGGTGGTGCACGCAGTGTCCAACGCGTGCGCCCTGGGTAAACTGAAGGCTTGTGGTTGCGACGCCTCCAGGCGTGGGGACGAAGAAGCCTTCCGTCGGAAGCTGCACCGCTTGCAACTAGACGCGCTGCAGCGCGGAAAGGGCTTGAGCCATGGGGTCCCGGAACACCCTGCCATACCCCCTGCCAGCCCAGGCCTGCAGGACTCCTGGGAGTGGGGTGGCTGCAGTCCGGATGTGGGCTTCGGAGAACGTTTCTCCAAGGACTTTCTGGACTCCCGAGAGCCTCACAGAGACATCCACGCACGCATGAGACTCCACAACAACCGTGTGGGCAGGCAGGTGAGAGGCACGGTCCCCACCCCCGCCCCCGCTGTGCTGCAAAGCGGGATCAGCATCCACTAGGGTAGCTCCCCTTTCTAGGAATCCCCCCCCCCAGCCCAGTAACCTCACAGTCCTCTCCTAATTCAGCTTGCAAGAACGCTGTGGGGAGCTACCATTGTACCCTGAGCACCGCAGTGGGCCTGGGAAACGGGGTTGAAACAGCCTTTGCCAAAGAGGGCATACCCCAGTCTGGAACAACTTGCTTCTCAATTTTCTCTGATGACCAACAGAGAAAGGAGTAGGTTGGCAGTCTGGACCAGGGCTGATACAGTCTCCTTCCCTGTGGAGCCAGAACTTTGAACAACATCATCCATCATGTACCCCGACTCTAACGTTTCATGGCTCTAGGAGCCTGAGATCACCATGTTAGGCTTTTTCTTCAGTCTCCCAGGAGGGGATTCTCGAAGACTGAGGACCAATATTATAGTTTCCTACCTTCTTTCTCCTTTTTCTGGACCGCTCATACTACCTTAAAGTCCCTTTGTGTAAAAGAAACACCACTAATAATACATAGATATGCAGACACAGAAACACAGAAGGAAGGAAAGGAATAGCTGGTTGAATTGATCAAACCTTACTGTTTAGGCATGTTCTTGAGCTCTCAGCCTACTTATGCATAGCTATGATGTCAACACTCCTCATAAGCATGTGGTCAGATGTGGAAACCAAGGCACAGAATGACTAAGAACCTTGCTTGAGGTGGGAAGGTGGCAGAGAGGCAGGCTCCATCCCTGGCCAGTGGAGCTGTATCTCTGCAGTTCTGTATCCTCTGATCCTCCCCTGTCTGCTCAGCCCAGTTCCGGGGCTTCCTCTCTCTTTTTCTTTTGGCTTAGTAGCCCACTCCAGTTCTTTGTTCTCCGCAGCTGATTCAACAGTTCCCATCTTGACTTAGAGTGAGGGTGAATTGAGGCACAGGCTTACCCTCCAGTCCTATCCCGCTCCCAACCCAGTCATGTCCTGTGCATGGGGCTCCTTTCCCAAGCTCCTGATACCAACCCCAGCCCAGACCAAAAGTGCCTCCTCCTTGTCCTTGTTAAACTGGTTAATTAATGGCTGCAGCCTGTGGGAAGCAGATGTTCTGAGGCTGTTGGCCCAGGAAAGCTTTGGTGTGTGTATTGGGGGGGGGGTGAGTGTGTGTGTGGGTTCCCACGTGGTGCTGACACCACAGGCCACACATGCAGGCTGTGCAGCCCCCTAAGATCCAATACAGTGGGGTCCTTCACTTATGACCTTCTTAACCAGTTTTGAAGGCCCCAGAGCCTTGCTCTCCTTAAGGTTATTTGAAATGGGGGTGGTGGTTGGAGAACGTGGACAAATTCCAATGTGGGGGGATGCCTGGTGAGGGCACTAAGGGTTTCTATGGGAAGAGATTATTATAGAACAAGCTGAGTACTGGGTGAGTGGCAAGCAGGCTTCCCTTAGAGAACTCTGCTTCCATAGCGGTGAGAATTTGGCTGTCTGGGTACTGGTCTGCATTCAGGGGATCCTTGGCACCTGTTGTCACTCAGTATAAACAGAGTAAACTTGAGTTGCTATAATGGGAGGGGGTGTCTCCTTACTTCCTGTCCTTTCCCCTTCTCAACTCCCTGCAAAGACTTAGAGGGCACAGCTGCGGATGGTGGTGGTAGGTGGTGGTGTTGGTGGTGGGGCGTTTCTCACTCACTGCCTGGAGGGAGGCCAAAGGCTTTGGGGTTAGGATGTAGGGGAGCAGGCACATCCTTGCTCCGGGGAAAGGAGAGGGAATTTCCCTGAAGATTTGGGATCCTTAGGGCTCAGGAAGCAAGAGCCCCCAGGTCCAAGGGCCCCCATGTAGTTAGTTGCTAGAAAGGTTGGCAAGGGCGGAAGGAGCTCGAAGGAGGGAATTCCCCCAGGGCCTAGCCGGACTGGAAGTGGTGAATGGGGTGGGCTGCAGAAAAACCGGACGAAGTTCTGAGTCCCAGCTTCGGACCTCGGTGTTTGCTTCTGTACAGTGGGAGCTGGTTTCCAGCCTCTGTGGCCGGAGGAGGGCTGGAACACTGGATGCCTTCCTCATCCCTCTCGGTGCCTCCCTCTGTAGGCGGTGATGGAGAACATGCGGCGAAAGTGCAAGTGCCATGGCACCTCAGGCAGCTGCCAGCTCAAGACCTGCTGGCAGGTGACGCCCGAGTTCCGCACAGTGGGGGCGCTGCTGCGCAACCGCTTCCACCGCGCCACGCTCATCCGGCCGCACAACCGCAACGGTGGTCAGCTGGAGCCCGGCCCCGCGGGAGCACCCTCGCCAGCACCCGGCACTCCAGGCCTGCGCCGCAGGGCCAGCCACTCCGACCTGGTCTACTTTGAAAAATCGCCCGACTTCTGTGAGCGCGAGCCGCGCCTGGACTCGGCGGGCACTGTGGGCCGCCTGTGCAATAAGAGCAGCACGGGGCCCGACGGCTGCGGCAGCATGTGCTGTGGCCGCGGCCACAACATTCTGCGCCAGACGCGCAGCGAGCGCTGCCACTGCCGGTTCCACTGGTGCTGCTTCGTGGTCTGTGAAGAATGCCGCATCACCGAGTGGGTCAGCGTCTGCAAGTGAGCGGGGGCCCAAGCTCCTCTGGATCTCAAGAAAGGTTCTCCTGGTGCCTGGCTTCGGCCGCTAGGGATCCGGGCCAGGCAGCAGCAGCCTTGGCTCCTGAGAGAGGTGGTTGGCTCTTATAGCCCCGAGGGTCTGCAATCACCAGACAGTCCAGATCTGACTGACATCCCTCTGCTCACTTCTGTAGGTTTCCTCTCTTTCTACTCCTAGCTCAGACAGCTGGGGGGTGATAGTGGAGACTGCCCCACGCCCTAGGACATGTTACCAAAGCAGCCCAGCCTGGCAGGCCTGCCTCCTGTCGTCTCTTCTCCCCTTCCCCGGGAGCGGCAGGCAATGCACTGAAGCTGAAGGGCACCGGGAAGAAAACTAAAACGCAGAAACGGGTGAAGTGATGCTCTGAGGGCTCCAGGCCTCCTCCACAGGCCTGCTCCTGTCTTTCACTTAACGGATATTTATTTTGCACTCTCTTTGTGACACTCTCTGGGGAAAAAGAAGCCTCCGGAGTTTACAGGCTGATTAAGGGACATGGACAATAAACTAGTAAATACACAAACAAGGTTATTCCAGGAAACGTTATGGGTTACGGGGAAATTAATCAGGGCCCGGGATACACACTGATTTGTGGGAAATAGAGCCCTTTCCACTAACACTGCCTGCCAGGGAGACTTCTGAATTGTGATAGACAAGCTGTGACCTGCAAGGTGAGAGAGCCATCGGGAGGTGGGGAAGGGCTTTCCAAACAGGCTATAGGAACCCAAAGCTCTGAGGGGAGAGAGACCTCCACCTGTTGAAGGATCAGCAGAGCAGCCTCTGTGTTTGGAGCATAAAAATCAAGGGCTGATAGGTGGGACCAGAGGATGGAGTAGCCATACTCGTGGGTTTTACTGAAGAGGAATCTACAGAGAATGTTAAGTTGTGCTCTGGTTCCCACATGTCTGGGGGTCTGGCCGAAATGGAGAGAGGATGAGAGCCAGAGAGGATGCTATGGGGTCCACGACTAATCCTAGCTGAGGCCTGAGTTTGGATGACAGCAGTACGGGTGTCTAGAAGGACCCAGGGATCCAGAGCCTGCAGTGCCAGGATTCTAACCGCCCACTTAGTACCTGAGCCCTTTGCCACAAGCCAGGACGAGTGGCTGTGCCCAACAGCAACCCATGGCAGAGACAGGAGGCACTCTGAGAGAAGTAATCCTGGGCAAGACCCGGCTCAACCCAGCCAGCGCCCCAGGGAGCAGGTGGGGCCAGGAGGAGCGGCTGGGAATAGGGTGGTGGCAGACTCACCGTCTGGAGCTGGGCTCTGGAGTCTAGGCAGGAAAGCTAGGGGTGCATAGAAAGCCTTCCTGAACCCCTCATTCCCCCGGAGCCACCACTGAAGATGTCAGTTAGCAGGTGAAAACTCCCCCCTGATCTTATGTTTCCCCCAGGACACCGCTGAGCTAGAACTCGGGATCATGCTTGTATTCACTGTGGCTCAAGCCTGATGCCCTTCTAGAACAGACCCTCAGGATCTGGTTTACACAGGTTTATCTCCCTCATGCAGGCCTATTGCTCAGTTACTGCCCTTGCTGGATGCCTTCTTTTTTCACCTATTGTCATCTATCTCGATAAACCAAGAGCAGACAAAAGTCTTGTTCCAAAGGCCAGTTTGCACAGACACCCCACACCCACCCAACGTTTCCCTGCTCCTATCCCTTGAGGGGGTGACTCTGAAATATACACCTCTGTTGGCTCTCCAGATCAAAGACTGGACCCACTAACTCGTTCTCACCTCCCTGCCCTTTGATTGCTGCCCTTTCAGCAGCCCTTAGGCATGCTTAAGGCATCGGGCTGTCTCCAGTGCTCAGTTCTGTTGCCTCAGTAAGGCTTAGGTTCTCTTCCTAGCACCATCCCCCAAACAGTTCCATAGGCAGGTGGGTGAGAGTCTCTGAGGGAGGAGGGGTAGGCAGGAACAGACAGACACACCTGCCTCATTCCTTTCCTCTTGTTCATCCTGGAGAGAACTCTAGGGGCTGGGCTCCCCCCTTCTTCCCTCCCATCCTAAGGAGGAAGAGGGGTGTGCTGGGGGAACTGGAAGGTAAAGGGATAGTCCCACCTCTAGCAGCATTCACTACAGAAGTAACTTTGACCTCGGCCTCTGTCTTTCAGATCTTGGGGAAGTGAGTTATAGGATGGAGTTTGGAAATAAGGGAGAAGAAGTTGTACACTGCAGAACATGCTGCCTAGGGCAGAGTGGGGGCAGGGGACTGGACACTGAGCCTCAAGGGACTCCGGTGGTCAGAATCAGTGGTCTGATGTATGCTAGTGTGACCTGTAAAGTTGGGAAAGGGACAAAGTTATTATTTCCCTAAGCCACCACTACACAGCCTCACTCACTGGTCTGGACCACAAGGCTGGGCCCCATAATAGCAGAGTGGCCTTTGGGATGCCTTAAAAGGAGGTAAAGGAGATGCAGGTGGGAGGGTGGGTGCTGTGCTTATGCACACTGTCTGGAATACAGCGGGAATAACGTACTGGCTGGAGGCAAGGGGCAACGGGATTCTGAAATTAATGCAAGCTTTGGGCGAAGGTGGGCTGGAGAATTCAGGAATCACCCGCTGTGAAATTTGGAATGGGAACAGAAAGTGACCAGGGATCCTTCCAAGGAAGAAAAGACCTCACTGGTTTCTGTGCACTTTCGACCTGATTATTTTTTCCCCCAAGGCAGAACTGAGGTGTAATGTCGGTAAAGGAGCGAGGTAGGGATCTAACGAACAGCAAATGGGGCTAGTGCACTGATGGACACAGTGCTGGGGTTAGAGGTCAGGGAGAAACAGCCCGCTGAAGTGGGCCCAGGCATCTGGCTTTTCACTTGCCAGGGCTCCTAACCGGGAAGGGCATTCAACGATAGACTTGTCGGCTGTGGGGTACCTGGGCGAGAAGCAAGGTCAAGGCCTCGTTCCGGAGCTCCTTCTGTCTTTCTCTGAATGAATGCTCCCCCAGCTCGCCTCCGGCAGGGGGCCTTCCACCCTGGAGAGTGGCCAGGCTCCAGTCGCAGCCCCCCTCCTCCCTTTCCACCCCCCACCTCATGTGGTTGCCGGCAGCTGCCTGCGGTCGCCCCATCCCTTGTGCTCAAGGCACGGGGACTTTCCAACAGGGGAAAAAATGACTTAATGAGAGTGGGAGCCGGGGGCGGGAGGGACAGGTCCCTGTAATCACAGCTCCACTGTGGGGCCTGCGTACCTCCCGATCCTTCCCAGCTTCCTGCTGCCAGCACCCGCCTTGGATTCTGCTGGGGGAGGGGGCAGGCTGGCGACAGGGAGATCCCTGTTCAGGTGCTAGGTTCTTTGAGGCCCTTGGGCTGCCTTTTCTTTCTGAAAAAGGCTTGAGCTGCTTGAGGACAGAACGTGGGACATCCCAGAATCCCTCTCTGGATCCCGTCCAGAGTGAATTAGAAGAGTAAGGGGTACCGAAGAGAACCCTTTGCTGTTTCGAGACTGCGCACTTCGCAAAGCCCCCGGTTGCTGTGGCAACCAGGGCAGCCGAGGTGTGTCCGCCGGCCTGGGAGATGTCCCCCCCCCGCCCCTTTACACGCCGCCCGCAGGGCCAGGCCCCGCTGCTGTGGTGCGCGGGGGTGGGGGTGTGCCGTTACCATGGCAAGGGTGAGCTAGAAGGGCACATTCTTCCCCAGGGTGGGAGCGCCCTGGGGACACGAGAAGGGGGGTGACGGGGGCGGCAGAAAGGGGAGCAGAAGATGGTCAGAACAAGGGAGGAGTCTCGGACAAGATGAACCAAGGTTTCTGAGGTTGGGGTGGGGAGTTTGGAATCTGTCCTCTCCCCTGCTTCAGCTCTTCTGAGGTGTCCTTCTCCTGCTGCTGAACACTTCTTGGGGTTCAAAGCCCTGAGGCCTCTGTTTCCAAGGAAGGAACTTCCAATAATCGACCAAGCCCCATTTGACTGACTATTCCTTGTCGGGCCTGTGGAGCTAAGAGGCCTGTCCCACTCCACTCCCAGTAGCGCTGAAGCCCAGACTTCTAGCCATTGCCCTGCAATTAAGCCCCTTGCCCGCCTCTGTGCCACCCGCCCGGCCTCTGTCTGGCCCAGTCTGCTGCCAATTACAGCTTTGCACAGCAGGATTATCTTGGAGACCCCGGGAAACTTGGGGCTGGTAGGGAGCAGGTACAGCAAGATCCTGGGGGTGTCCTTGACCCCAGGACCCTCATCTGGAACTTCAGGCTGCAGCCGTGGTGTGTGTGTGTGTGTGTGTGTTGCAACATCTAGGATCCAAGGCTGTGTGTACTCAAAAAGTTCAAGGCCCCTGCGGCCTATTCTCTTTTCCACCGCAAGCTGCCGCGTGGGTCTCTCCTGGCCCCACGCCCTGACCAATGGACCCAGCTTGGTTTTGTTGAGCCAACCACAGGGCAGCCGCCAGCAAGTAACTGATGTTTTGTGGAAGTCACAAAACGGCGCCCTCTTTGGGCATAAGGGTTCCCTCTTTCTGTCCAGCAAAGGAAAACAATCAGGGAGTCTGCATAAAATCCATTGGAGCGTTCTGCCACCACCCTGTCCCCTGCCGATCTTTCTCTCTCTATCCTGCAGGCTAGTCTGCAGGGGCTCCAGTAAAGCTTCGCGCCTCCCGCAGTCCAGCTACTCACATCTGGTTGGCAGCTGGGAACCGCCCACCACAAACTACTGAGGACATGGCGCCCTCTGTTGGTGCAGTCTGGAGAAGCATCAGCTTTCGGGCCTGTGCTGTGTGCCTCTGCTGCAGAGGGTTTCTGCTCTCTGGGTCTCGGGTTCCACTCATTTCTTTGCCTGCTAGAAACCCCACACACTCTGACTCGCGTCGCTCCAAAAATCCTACCATGCAGGCTCTTTGCTTTCTGCCCGACACGATCTTGCTGACCCTCTGTTCTGCATACATGTGTGTCTAAAACCCAGCCTAGTGACCAGGCTTCTCCAAACTTCACAAGGTCGCCAGCTCCGACTTCAGGAAGTGCGACCTGTCATTCCACGGCCCACGATCACTCACCACCTCCAGCCTTCCCGAGCTTAATGTAAAAGTCCTAAATTAGGAATAAGGTTACATAAATAACGACATATTTGTTTAATGGAATTTCTTGTTCTGTCCTTTAAATGAAGTGGTTTAAGTATATTTAGAGGCTTATTTAGTGATTTCGTATTTGCTCTACACTGGGGAAGGGTACATTAACAAAAAAATAGCACGAGATAGGGTCTCCCTTTAACGTAAGAAAGTCGAACAGGCATCCAAGAGCTGAGTTATTTCGGTTGAGGGATTATAGGTGGTTTACAATTTGTCCACCGTCTATCAGCATTTTTCATTTGTTTAAAATGACCCTTTGACTTGCTCATCGTAACGACTCCACACACACTCCACACATGAATTGTTTGGTTCAAAAATGAGCATCACATCACATTATATTTTTGAAAAGATTTTAAACACTCTCGAGGAGGAAGAGGCAGTTAGATATCTATGAGTTTGAGGCTAGCCTGGTCTAAATAGCTAGTTCTAGACCAGCCAAGGCTACATAGAGTACCTTGGTTTTTTGTTTGTTTG